AAGAATAATTAATAATCCAAGCTCCAATAAATCACTTAATTTCCAAGTTGAATAATACTCCAAATATATTGATGACTTAAAAGATCACTGATGACTAAAAAAGGTAAAAGAAAAGAAAAATATGCCGTAATATATATAAACTAGGAACATTCCAGAATAGTCTATTATGTTCTAGTGTAATCATAATCTAGCACTTTCAACAATAAAGAACAGTCCGGAAGTTTCTAACTAAATATAATGCATGAGTTTATCTACAACAATTAAGAAAGTTCTAGTACATACATGTAGTTTATGTTCTAAAAATAGAACAATGATAATATTGGAAATACCAACTGGTCAGATACAAACTATATACATGTAATATGTTGCATACATAACACGCTGTAAACAGTTACCCTCGAGCTAGATATTCCGGTCTGTATCGGCAGCCGGTGTAAGATTTTTATATTCTTCACGCCACGTCCAACCAACAACAAATCAGGAGCTAAGACATGCAATCATAGAGGAATGGGTGCAGATTCCTCATCACAAGGTCCGCAGGTTCATCCTTTTAACATTTTATATTGGTAATTAGAAAATTAGCTGCACTGACCACACCCCGCCAAACTTTATTGCATAATGACTATCATACGGTCAATGAAATTAAAGGTAATCATCCAATCAAAATCATAATATTTTATTTATCTATTTTAATGTATATTCATTATTGTTACCAATGTCCAGTTAGTCTGATACAGTTAAAGGTCAACCGGGAGTACGAGGTCTTACATTCATGTACGTAATTATTTCTCAAAAGAGAGCATTGGCACTTCTGTTGGATGAATCAAAGAAAGCGGTTATTGTTTTAAAATAAATATACTAGAGTTAAGTGATATTTTTTATGTTGGAAATAAACATGTAAGTAGTGTTTATTTTTCGTTAAATCACTTCAAGTTATTTAAGTTATCATTTTTAAGTTGAACATCGTGCAAGACCAGGATCGTCGAGTTCATCATCGTTTTTATTTTGTCATTGGCTGTTGTTCAAACATATAATGTTGAACTACAAATGGATCGTCATAAACGACTTTTTATGTAGTTCGTACATAATATTTACTTTAATACAAATCATATTACTTTATACACAGCTAAATATCGTTATCATGAACAATCAACAATTTACATCTAGGGATATATGTACGTCATTCCGGTTTGAGATCGCACCTGCAATACTAAGGCAATTACCGATAATTCATTGCTTAAATAATGAAAAATAAACTTACTTAAGTTTGTTCTGAACGATCAAATACAAAGACTAGTACGAAAATAAGATAACCACCTACCTTCAGGCTCTTTAATGTTTAAATTCTCTTTAAGAATAAATTTATTAATCTTATTATTGGGATTTTCAGTCGTTTAGGATTCGGTACAAATATCATTTTCCGAAATTTTAGAAATAAAGTCTTTAATTTTAAATTTAGTGTCACTTAAACCTTTACAATTTCTGACTTAAAATTTAAGCTCAGTCTCCTGTTACTTTTTGATTGGTTTGCCAATGTTGAATTCTGCTTAAGCCGGTGCTAGGGGCGTGGACGGTAACTTGCACTTTCCAGTACCGTCCATGAACAGGCTCAATCAAACCGAGCCTGCAACATTTTCAATTTTGCCGTGTTGGGCTTTCTTTAGGGATTCTGTATTTATCTATTTTATGACCACATCCGTGTTATTTGTGCCGTGTGGCGGCTGTAAAAAGTCTCCCCGTACATTTAATCAATGGTGTTATATTTTCGATCCTTGAAGATCGTTCAGCACGACATTATTGTTGTGCTTGTGGTATTTTTAGTTTCAACTTTTCGGCAATTTCTAGTTGGGTGGTTCCAATATTCCTACTTGAATAATGTTGAATCACCCTAAGGATATGTTTCCTGCTTTTTAAATTTGTCTTTTGACGTCTTATCTGTGATACGCAGGCTTCATAACCTCTGATCCCCTTTCAAAATTCCATTTTATTTAGTTCCGCCCATTGTTTTCTCGTTTAGGGCACACGCTTTTTATTACTTGGGGACCATACGCCGCTTTTCATGGAATGGCACGGACGTGTCACATTGAAGGTTCCATGATAACCGCCGTATGAACACATCTGCGGATGTTTCTAAATTCAAAATTTTACTATTTCATGTTTAAATGTTGAATTCTGCTTAAGCCGGTGCTAGGGGGCGTGGACGGTAACTTGCACTTTCCAGTACCGTCCATGAACAGGCTCAATCAAACCGAGCCTGCAACATTTTCAATTTTGCCGTGTTGGGCTTTCTTTAGGGATTCTGTATTTATCTATTTTTTGCCACCAACATGTGCTGCAATTGAATTTATAACTTTATTCCTATACTTTTAAGGCTCAGATGGAAAAAATATTCAAGGAGTTTGAGGAGGAAAATGACAAAAAGGTATACGAGAAATGTATGACGAGAATTACTGATCTCTATAAAACAGTAAGAAGCAACATAGACAGGCTGACATATATGGTATCTGGTGGATTTGAAAAATACAAAAAAGACATACAAGGAGTCGTAGAATTGTATGAAATCGAACAAGAAAACGAAAATATAGATCCTGTGCAGGTATAGATAATATATCAATTATAATTAAGACAATTTTCCTTATTTTTTATTGAATGTTCTAGGTGCGATTATATCGAACATTCTTAGATGCCTTCACAACCTTGCCCTATTAAACAGATATTAACCCTTTTCCTCATGAGCCTATTGTAAAATAATTGCCGTTTTCATCGAAAAGCCGCATGTTACAAGTTCAAACTGCTATGAAACTACGGAAAAAAACTGATGAAACTTGGCACAAATGTTGACAGCTTGCTCAATCTTCCATTTTCTGTTACCATGGCAACGGGGGACGTCTCAAAATTGCGAAAAAATCACTATTTTGCATTGTTTTTTCCATCAAAACTGATTTCAAAGTGCTGCAACTTCTCAATAGATTGAAAAAAAGTAAAAGGCTTTTCAGCGTTGGTTGCACGTTACCTTACGATCGACCTGAGGCTTTTTTTTTAGCTTGTCTCATGTTCAAAATTTTCTTGGCGATGAGGGGGACTGCCGCCCCATTCAACCCCCCCCCCCCCCCCCCAAAAAAAAAAAAAAACGGAAGGGCGCACACCCCTCTTCTGGCAACCCCTAGATATACCTTTTTGATGGGGCGGCGCCGAAAAAGTGATCACTTTTATAGCAACATTTCTGAGACGCAAAAACAGTGTTTGGGGCCTAAATAGGGTAGTTTTTCAGTTTGAGGCCTCTAAAGGGGGGGTCGAAAAGCCGTCAAAACACGTCTATATGAGGGAAAGAATTAACAAAAAAGACGAAAAACCTTGGAATTAACCAAAATCTAGTTTTTCCATGTAAACACGTGACCTATCACCTAATTTTGGTGAAAAATTGTTGTTTTGTAGAATTTTTTATTTTTTTAAACAAAAAAAAGATGAAAAACCTTGGAATTACCCAAAACTTTGTTCTTCCATGTTAACACGTGGCCTTTCACATTTTTATTTTTTTAATTAATCTTTAGTTGTATATACAAACTGATAAGCAATGGCAGATAATCCGTAATGGTTACCTTAATTGTTCTTTTGTAAGTTTGTTTTATTATAAATTTCTTTCATCGTGCAAATTTTTAAAAAAATTATGATCACAATGTGATTTTTTCTTCTTTGTCTCTGTAAAAAATAAAGAAAAAGAAAAAACTTTTTTGAACTGCCTGCCAAACGTGATGTTAATGGTGTTAAACACGAAAGAGCGTAGAGACCGTTATTATAAAGATATCTTTATTTATAAGATAAATTGGAGGTAAGTTAAAATAGAAAATATTTTTACATACAGCTAAGCTATATGCAGGTAAGGTCTTTTAGCCCTATGTTGCCTAGATGGTAAATATTAATGTGACTGTTTTCATTTTTATAAACTTTCATGCTTTCTATTTCATATCTTAAAAATGTTAAAATTCCAGTGTTTGCAATTGTAATCTTCAAATACCATCCAATCACATCAATTTAGCCTCGTTCAGCCGAGACTAAATATCCATAATATGTAATCTATATTGTATTGTACTCAATGTTTATAAATGGGTGGCGTGAAAAGACATTGATGAGTACAATACTGATTGTCGTACATAACTCAACTCGTCCAATATAAGTTTTTTGTAACTGTATAAGTCTTAAGATATTTCAGTATTGTCCTCGACAGTGTATATTATATTTATTTACAATGTATTTAGATCACATTATGCCTCAGAAACAAAAGCAAAAAAAAACTCCTTTAGAAAGGGCTAACATTAATATTATAATGTCTAAATAATAGTTTTAGAGAATGATTGCTATTTTTCATTTGAAGAAAGTAGCATCAATGTAAAATAATTTGTCATGAAAGTAGGAACATGTAAACAAAGAAGTACATGTATTTTGACTTACGTACTAAATGCTTATTTACCACATCTGTACTTATTACCAAACAACAACAGATGGGAAAGTTGGTTCAGGTAATTGCCAAATGACTAACATTTTGGATACTATAAAGTACACCAATATTAAATAGCTTTTGAGAAGAAAAATTAAAAGCATTTCTGAGGCATAACGGGCTTTTAATGTAGTTTAACCATGGTGTGCCATTTTATATTATCTTGCCTTTGTGTTTCTCAAAGAATATTATTTTTTTACATTTATTGGCATTCCGAATAAAATTTATTTTAAAGTATGGTTTTGCAGGTAAATAAGGCTAAGCGTGATTTCCTAGCAGAGCGACAAGCTGAAAGTGAAGCTATTATGACGGCAGATAAATCAATCTCCGAAAAAGAGCAGAAAGGTAAATCCTGTATTTCATATCAATGGATTTCGTGTGAATATATGTGCGTGCGCGTGGCTTTACGCGTCGTCGTGTTTTTTTTGTGGGGGACGGGGGATTAAAGAAAATATAAAATATTTATATCATTGTTGGAGCAGCAAGTGTTAAAACTGTGCTTGAGATGGTTAGCCGGTGCTATATTACAAGAGAGATAAAAGACTCAATCAATCCGAGTTCTGCATTTCCTATCTCAATTTGTCTTTGTTGGCATTGTCATCCAGGTGACCTACAAGGAAATGAATCAACATACTTTGAAATGGCAGAAATTGCCGATATCATTATTGTAATGTCCTGTTTATTTTGCTAACTTTAGAACGCTGTAAACTTATTGGTAATTATTTACAAGTATTTCATCTGAGAACTTTTTCGTTACTATTTCTGTAAATTGAGTCACACTTGTTCAGAAAAAGATAACAGTTTGTAAACTTTAAATTCTTTAGTTTTATATAACTTTATATTTAATGCTTTGGTTTTATATAGATGAATTGGAAAAACGAGAGAAAAAGCTTGAAGCTGATTTTAAAGAAGCACAAGAGAAAGCACTAAAACATTCTCAAGAGGAACTTGAAAGGCAAAGAAAACAACACGATGAACAAATGGCTATCATTCGAAAGGAACAAAAAGATTGCGAAGAGGCAAACAAAGCAGCATTCTTAGAAGAAAGACTGGCTAGACGAGATCAAGAACGTATTCAACTTCTTGAAACGGCTGTATCAATTGCACAGGCTCTAGCGCAAATAATTTGATAAACAACAGCTCAGTTTCTACAAAAATGCTGGCATATTGATGAATACAATATAATGATAAAACATTTAATTCCTAATAATCCTACCTAATTAGTGCATAATACAGTAGAGTTTAATTTAATACTTCATCTACCAATCAAAGTAAGTATATCGGGATAGTTTTAATCGGTTATTACAACAACAACAACAACAACAACATAAACTTTATTGAGCTCAAGCCATTATGCACACAGTGAATAATATTTGTGAGGTCACATGAATGATTGTTTGCTTAACTGGGTTGAAAATAGTTATAGTGTGTTACTCCATTTAGTATTTTGAAAAGGACTATAAATTCTGATCCGGCAATGTTCCATGCTCGGTGACTGAAACTTATTTAATATTCTACACTTTTTTTAAATAGTATTTGTATTTTGAACACAATTTACTCTATTAAGTATTGTTTTAAAAAGAAACAGAGTTTATTTATATTGTTTTTGTGCTGCCTGAAGTAGATCACTGACATCCTGAACTGCACTGAAACCTAGTCCTATAAATATGACGTCGCTTTGAGATATTTTTGCTTCTGGTCAAAGCAACGTCATATCGAAATTGCTCAAAACCCCATAGGACGTTCCGCCAGAAAATCAGACGGAACGAAAAAACAATTAAGACAGTGTGTATTTACATTAATTTTGACCTATTTATGAGCAAAACTAAAAAAATAATACCTTTTGACAAAATAATTAAACTGACACATTCGAAAACTCATGATTAAATCTTCTCATGTAATTAAAATTCCTTATACAGCCAATAAACAAATAATCGCCATACAGTTAGCGAAATCTGATTGGCTAATTCAAATGCAAGCGTTCAACTGAGTCAGAAATTCTAACGAATATTATTTAACGAAATAATTGCCCATGCACCGCCAGCGTGTTTGAATGTATTTTTCCGTTCAAAAATTTGGAATCAATATGTAAAGCGTCTAACTTAGTCAGTATGGCTGATAGCCAAAAATAGATTGATGTTAAAATTTTATTTTAAATTAATAAGTACATTGTTTGAGTGTTTTTGTTTATGATTGAGCATGAATTTGAAAGAAAAGAAGATAAGCATTTGAATAAAGCTTGAAAGGCAAGACAATAGACATTTTTTTAATATGCTATGCGTTTATGAGCAATAACTATAAGACGTCAGGCTTGACCGACATAAGCTATAACAAGTCTGTAACGTCTGATAAATTGGACTACATCGAAACCGTGCTATTCCCAAATTGTAGTGTAATCGTTCGCTGTGTAAAGCCAGTAAAATTTTGAATGAACACGTGAAATGTGTTAATTCAATTTACATTTGAATCTTAACAAATGATTAGTTTAAATTTTCGGAAAATGGATATGAAATGTTTTGATGTATCTGGAAATAATCACAATTTTATCGTTAAAGTATCAGTTAAGCTAATTTAGAAGATGTGTCACAGAATTAAGAAACATCAATTAAGTAAGAATTTGCATAATTATTATATACACGTGGAACAAGAGTTCTATTGCATAGAGAAAATGTATTCATTTTACTTGTATACAACTGATCAATTACATAGGCATGTTGACAAACAAGTGTAAAATATTTAGGAAAAAGGCATGACCTATATTTAACTTGAAAAAGAAAACAACTCCAAAAGCAACTAAAACTAGAGAAGTCAAGGAAAAAGGCTTGACCTACTTATATTTAACATGGAACAAATAGAGTTGAAAATGACCATATGAATTAATATACATGCAATATCAGTGACACTTTGCATTGATTACCTAACAGAATCATCACCAAAAAAGGGAAAAAAATGAATAAAACTGATGAAGTTTACTGACAGCAGTGACGAGTAAAGGCAAATGGAAAAAAAGTAGAATATTTAAGTACATGTATTGGTGTACAAATCCTTAGACAGTATTGCTATTTTACAGAGAAAATATTCATGTGATTCCTTATAGCTTAACCGTTTCTAAAATAATTTTAGTAAATGTATATAGCTTTTTTGACTGCGTATTAATGAGCTCTTTAAATTTAAGATTTTTTATCAATCGGAAGAATTTCCCATTAATATTCTATTAAAGATTTTTTTGCCAAAGTCCTACACGCCATAAGAAATCATATACCTGTGCTAAATCTATAAAGATACATTATATTTTCATTTTATGATATCCCAGTATTTCAATTAGAGAAATGAGTGTAAAGACATATTTATAGTTGTTTTATATGTATTAGTCAAACTCTAGAACAATTTTCCTGATAAGCTGAACATTATTGCCGCACTTTGAAGTCTCAAACGTATCTGCATACGTCGAATTTCGTAACAAAATTACTCACGGGGTAAGGGAAATAAAATCACGTGTACCGAAAAAATTGAGTCGGTGACCCCCTAATTTTTTTAGTTATTTTGACTAAGTATACATTTTAAAGGACATTTAAAGAAAAATCAAAAAAATATTTCAGGAATTTTTCAATAAGCCAATTTTAAGCTAAACTGAACGTCAAATTTAACACAAAATTGACAATTTTCTTTCCATTACTCAAACAATTTTCGGCGTAAAACAATACATTTTATATCTGCTTGAAGGGAAAAATAATTTCCGTCGAATGCTGTAGGATTTAAGATATTTTGTCCGCCAATGGCGTTGAAATACCCATAACAGTTGCCAACGATACGCAACGACGTCATGTTCAAAAACGGGCTTTGTTGCAACTTTGACGTCGTGTGTACAAAAAATGGCTGAAACTATTAAAATAAAATCAACGAAATTCAATCAGAAATATGGTCAATTTTTTGCATGCCGATTTTCAAAACGCTACTCGAAAGTTCGCAAAGTGTCGCGTTCTACCTTAAGTGATTGCCTCATAAATGAAAGTTTAGTGGTTCGATCCCCACGTTGGTCACCTTTTCATTATTTATTATTATGCCCCCATTTCGAAGAAAAGGGGGTATATTGCTTTGCACTTGTCGGTCCGTCGGTCTGTCGGTCCGTTTCCTAGACCAAAAGGTTTCCCGGGGATAACTAAAAAACCCTTTGGCCTAAACTTCAAAATTGGTTGGGATTTTTCCCAACAAGTAGATACCCTATTTATTTTGGGCAAGGGGTCAAAGAAAGGGGGGGGGTTAAAATTACTTTTTAAGCCAAAAAAGGTTTCCCCATCAATAAATAAAGAATTAAACCCAGGAACTTAATTGGGGTGGTGTTTTATGATCAGAGATACCCTATTATTTTTGGGGCAGGGGGCAATCAAGTACATACCTTAAGCAAAAAAGGGTTTTTTTTCATAATAAGAACCCCAAGGGGTAAACTTCAAAATTTTATTGATTTCATTCAAGGGTGCCCCTACTATTTATGGTCAAGGGGCAAAGGGTCAAGGGCACCATTGACCTCTGGGTAAAAAACGGTTTCCATCAATAACAAAAGAACCCTTAGGCCTAGGAACTCCAAACTTGGTATGGTGATTGGTCATGATCAGTAGATGACCCCTATTGATTTTGGGGTTAAGTGGTCAAAGTCAAGGTCACATTGACTTGTAGGTAAAAACGGTTTCCGATCAATAACGAAAGAATCCTTAGGCCTAGGGGCTTCAAACTTGATATGGTGATTGGTCAAATGATCAGTAGATGACCCCTATTGATTTTGGGGTTAGGGGTCAAAGGTCAAGGTCACAATTGACCTTGTAGGTAAAAACGGTTTCCGATCAATAACGAAAGAACCCTTAGGCCTAGGAACTTCAAACTTGATATGGTGATTGGTCATGATCAGTAGATGACCACTATTGATTTTGGGGTCAAGGGTCAAAGGTCAAGATCACAATTGAACCTCTTAGGTAAAAAACAGATTCC